CTCCGGAACACAGTGGGGCCACCCCCGGGCACCCTGGGCTCAGTGTCCCTGAAGCAGGGCAGGGCAGGGCAGGCCGCCAGGCTCCGCCCAGTGACAAGTGGGTGCCGGTTATTAGGTTTCCTGGGGTCCAATTTCAAGAACAGCAGCCGCACTCAGAGGAGCAACACCCAGGATTAATTGACTCTTTCTTGGTAAATGCCAGCAGAGTTTAAATAATGAAGGGAGGAGGCGCGTGTGGGTAAAATGAACCGCTAAGTGACAGCGGGGGACGTGCTCGCCCGCCCCCTGCCAGCAGCCAAGACCCCCCGCTGCATGGCCTCCTGGGAAGTGAATTCTGGATGATGCCTGAACGTCCCCTCACTGCACATTTAGTGCAGGAGGTCCGGCGAGCAACCGGCATGTCCTTCTCGGCCTGGGCGGGGACTTCTTCCAGTCACTGTCCACGAAGGCTGCAGTCCCTCTCACCCAGATTTTTTACTGAGGGCCCCTCACGAGCTTGGCTAGGATGTGATCAGCCACGTGACAAATGGCCCCACTTCACGGCTGGCACACGTGGGAACCCGCGTTCTCAGGGGTCCTGGTTTCGGTGGCCTGCCCAGCCCGCAATCCAATTCCAAATGCTCCTCACAGTTATAAAGAGGCAGAGAAATGGAGGGGTGAGGCCTCTAGGGGTGACCAAAGGCAAGTAGAGAGGAGCCTCTGAGAACCCAGACTCCGGCCAGGCTGGAGGCCAAGAACTTAATTGTATTTATTTTTGCCACAAGTTCTATTTAGGGCAAGGGATATTACTATTCTATTTAGGGTAGTGGTATAAACATTCCTCCTACGCTAAATTCATTTACATCTGTAAGTGAGTCGATTAACAGCAAGTATTAAGTCAATAAAGTGAAATTAGCAGCACACGTGAAGGCAGACCCCGAGAATGACAGGGCCTTGCAGTGACAACGGCTGGCAAAACCGCTCGGGGCAGCACAGCCAGGCCAGGGCCCCGGAAACGTCAGGGGCAGGGAGCAGGCGCATCCGCCAAGTACCTGCCAACAGTTTCTGGCCGTTATCGGTAAACTGCCCCGTCCACAAGCAGCACCGTCCAGTGAGACGGCCTGGTGCTGGACCCATGGGACAGGGCTGCTTTAGACCCCAGGCCCCGCCGCCAGCAGGGCACCAGGCCGCCCCTCGCCCGCCCACTCTCCCTGTGGCCCCGGCGCTCCCACGCCTGCCGGACTCCGGGCCCCGCCTGCTGGGTGCGGCCACCGCAGGCTGAGAGTCCTCTCTGTGCTGCCCTAACTTCCAGCTCCCTGCACGGAGCCTGATGGGGAGGAGGCAGTTTGGGGGGGAGGAGGGAGGCTGGCCCCTTGGGAAGGATCCCTGCCACCCCCACTGGCTACATCTGTATTTCCTCGCCAAGGAGAGAAATCGCGGAGGCCTGTATGAGCGCGCGAAAGCGTCGGCCGTGGGGTCCACCAGCTCCGCCTTCTTTGTAGAGACCACCGTCCGCTTCCGCTCCAGGAGAAAGGCCAGCCCGGGTTAAAGTCAGGATTCCCAGCAGGGCGAATCAGCCGGCCTGGACCCAGACGCCAGAGGACTGGAGGGATGTGGGCAGAATCGGGAATCAGGTGAGCTGGCTGCTGGCAGGCGGAGATGAGCCCGAGAGCAGCCAGGCTGATGAGGCCGGGAGCCTCCGCATCCGGGAGCATCGAGGCGGGTTCTTAGGTCACTGCTGGCTGGCTGGCTGGACGGCGCCTGATCTTACCTTTCGAAGCCGCGACACTTGAAGTTGAGATCAACCGAGATGAAATAAAGTAAAATTGTTGACGGTGGGTCTTTGGTCTCCACCAGAGCCCTGCTGTGTAGCGTTGCTTTATTTTCTGACTTGGAAACAGGCAGAGATTAGCCACTAGAGAGGACTGTTTCTCCGCAGACCAGGCGCTGCTGCACTCACTTTGTTCTTGTTTTCCCTCTCCACGAGCTGATGGTCGTGGAGGGACAGATCATTGCTGTCCCCTCTACCTCAGAGTCCGCACCTGGGGGAGGCTCCGTGACTGTCTCTCAGTTGCAGCGTTTGGGGGAAGCAGAGCGCCAGGGGAGCCTTGGGCCAGTCTGCCGGAGACGATTGTCCCGGGAGGCACAGAAACAGCACGAGACCAGGCCCCGCCGGCGGGGAGGAGGCACAGCGCTCCCAGGCTGGGCTCAGTGCGCTGTGACAGACAGGCCGGGCGCTGCCGCATCACCCACACCCCCCCGCCCCCCGCGTGCTCTCCCCCCCGCGCCATGGTCTGGGGAGAGGGCCCTGAGCCACTCGCCTGGGAGGTTCTCACCTTCCCTGTGCCTCGGCTTCTCTCACAGACAGGGTGGTCACTTCAGGCTATTAAAGGAGCCAACGTGACTTTGGGACACAGCCTGACAGACCCTCCGCCCAAGTATCAGCATTATTATGGAAATGAGTCGCTTACTGTCATCTCCGGCAGTGAGGGCCCAGCCACATCTGGGGGCGCAGGGCCCACCCCACATGTGGCTGCCACAGAGACGCGGGTGCGATCACTCCGTAATGTCTGTAGTGCTGAATCGCTTGACCATACACGGTGGTGGCCCCGTCGTCAAGCGTGACTGTGCACATGGCAGCGAGAAGAGGTCGCTGGTAGAGCAAGACTCCCAAAGGCAGGGAGGCGTGTGGCTCAGCACAGGCCCTCGGTCTGGCAGAGAGGACAGCCGGAGACCCCGCTGTGACGAGGGGAACGGCAGGCGCAGGCGTTCACTGGCCGCTGCGATGTCGGATGCCTGCTCAGCACTGGGGGAGCAACCGAGGAGACTGGCCCGAGACGCCACACCGGAGCCACGCTCCAGGGGCAGAGACAGGCGGTGCACTTCACCCATGACACAGACACTGGCACGAGGAGACGGGAGCAGGAGGCCGCGCTGTGCTTTCCACCGGGACGGTCAGGGAAGGCCTCCTGGCCAAGGGGACATTTGAGCAAAGATTTGAAGCAAGGGGAAGTGAGCCGTGGGGAAAGGGGAAAGGGAACAGCCAGTGCAAAGGCCCCAGGCCTGGAACACACCTGGCAGGGGCACGGAGGTGGGCAGAGGGGGTGGGGACGAAGCCGGGGCTTCCCTCCTCCCTCCCCAAGTCACGCATCCCACAGCCGCATTCGCTTCCTACAGCGCAGGCGCTGTCCCTGTCTGATGCCTTTATTCATCCAGCTCTCCCCTCAAGGCACCCCGTGTGCAACCCCCACCCCTGCCCCACCAGGATGCAGAGATGGGCAGGCCCCAGTGCCGTGCTTGACCTGGGCCTGGGCCCTGGGGAGAAGCTGCGTGCCGGAGCGCCCGCGCGGCTAGGAGCACAGCACGGACAGGACCGGGCACTGGCGCCGGGGAAGGCGGGGGCTTCAGAGGGGCGGAGGACTCCCGAGAGGCGCGTGGCCTCACAGCAGAAGCCCTCTGCTCACGGCTCTCGCCATCTCCAGCTCCAGCAGATCTGAGCCTTAGCTGCCTTGGTTTCCAGGCGAGAGTCAGAGACGCAGCTCTCTTCCAGAAGTCCAGGGCCATGGAGCGCGTCTCCTTCGAAAGGTGCGGGCAGCCCACAGCAATGAGCTGCGGGCACTGGTCAGCCTGGCGGTGACGCCCCTCAGGCCTGGGCCTCTGCTTACTCCAGAAGTGTTCGGATCTGGATGGTAACGGTTCAAGGTGCCAGTGTCATGAAGAGAAATGCTTGGCATCGAGCGACGTGTTTACCGGGATTTTGGTGTGTAGATGCCTACAAGTGCCTTTCTGTAAGCACTAGGGAAACTGGCTGGGACGCTCTATCAGAGCCCTACGCCCCAGGGATCCTTTCTGGAGTCCAGCAAGAGCGGGCTCCTGACACTGGGGAAGCTGAATAACTAGCAAAAGTTTGCAGAAATCAAAGCAAAATGGATAAATCAAGTCAAGATAATGTTTAACGTGAACCAAGAGAAGACGGCAGAGAATGGGACTGAGCTGTCGAGAAGAGCTTGGCCGTGTAAGAAGAGAGAGGCTGGAGCTCGCTGGCTTAGGCAACCCCCACCCTGTGCCCCACCGCCCGAGGGACAGGGACACCGACACGGGCAGCACCAGCGGACGCCCAGGCCGCCCGTCCCCACCATGATGGAAACGCCATCGAGCTGTGTTCAGACTCCGGCCTGCTGGCGCTTCGGTGTCTGTGAGGCTCAGGGCAGACTCTCTACGGGACAAGAGTCGCAGGAGCTGCTGCTGAGCACATTGGGAAAGTGGTTAGCCTGACCTGCCGCCGGAAGCTGAGTGGGCGAGCCGAGCAGAGCGGCACACAGGCGGCGGGAGTGGGCCTGGGTGGGTGCCCGCGCCCCACTAGCGGTGCTGCCTCTGCCTGGGAAGCCGGCGCTGCCGGGACGCCCCAGTCGCACGCGTCCTGAAAGCCAGGCCTAGCAAAATCTTACCTCCTCCCCCCAAAATTTACAAAAAAATAAAAGGCTACAGGAGCGCCCCTGAGCTGCAGGGGGTGCATTACAACGGCCCCAGTGGGTGCCGGACAGCACAGCGACGAGCCCCAGTCTGTGTGCACGGACGCCCGAGTTAAGGTTCAGCGTACAGCTTCGGCACAGCGAGAGATGAGCAGCAGCGACGGAGTAGAGCAGCTACAATACGCTGCGTTGACGCCATGGTAACGCACTCCCTCCCTTCTCTCCCTCTCCCTCTCTCTCAGAATACCTTATTGCACGTGATACCTTCAGACCGCGGTCAACGGTGGGTGACTGACTGGGTAACGGGACTCTGCTGTGCTCCATTATTATTATGATTATTGAATTTCATTAATGAGAAGTTTGTGGACATTTGTTCTCACTCCCATGGGTTAAGCAGCTGCATCTACCTAAGAGCATCAGTTTTCCACAGTCTAAAATAGTCGAAAGTCTGACATATTTGCTGCCTGGTCCTCTAGAAGAAAAGTTTGCCGACTCGTACTGCAGAGAAGGCCGACGTGGGAGGGAGCCGCTGTGGGAGGGGCGGGGATGGCCGCTGCCAGGGCTGAGCCACAAGGAGACACAGCTGCCCGGCCTGGCAGACAGGCGGGGCCTTCACAAGGACTGCCCAGTGGCCGATAAACAGTGGTAATGGCCACAGAACATGGATACTTACTGCACACCGAATTGTACACTTAAAGGGTTAGGATGGAAATTCTCTATTATGGATATTTTACCACTTTTTTTTTTAAGCTCTGAAATTATTCAATAAAACCATCCTAGAGCCCTGTTGAAATCCTATCTGTTCTTGGGACCTAATGACTTTGAGTCCACCTTTTCTTTTTCAAGATCTGAGAAGCCACAACCAGTATGGCCTGCATGACTAGAGGCTCCAAGAACCCAGTGCTTTTTATGCACGAATTTATGCCCCCCAGAACAAGGAAGGAAGAACCTTCTGCAAATTCACAAATTGGGCGTGACTTTATCTTCCACTCTTAAGATTAATCAGCTGTTCAACTGCGCTCAGACCATGCTTTAAAGTTCTTTTACTGAGCCCGGCTCTCCGCGAGCAACCGAGAGTGGGCCGTTATGGCACAGCCACGAGGGCTCAGCATGCTGCCTGCGACCTCCCCTGGCAATTACTGCGCTGGGTGAAAGGCCAAGCAGACGGCAGCGTGCAGGCTTGCTCACCGCTCCGACTGACCGCAGATCTGACTGTGTAGGGCGCTGCTAACACGCCCTCTGATGGGCTGTCTCAGCTTAGCCGGGACTCTGATGTCAGCGGCGGCAAGGAGACTGACATTCTAGAATGCAGACCTTGGGAGGGTCAGCCTCTGTCCTCACCAGGGCTGAGGACACGCAGCAGGGTCAAATGGACATTTGCTGTTACGAACGTTGTACCTGCTGGTCAAATTCGTTACAGTGTACCCAGCGCTTCCCGTCCCTACCCATGTGTGGGTCATCTTAGCCTCTGCACGTATGATTTCAGCACTGCGAGGTATCTGTGGATTTTTCTCACCTGGTCATCTTCTGTCACTCCACGAAGCAGGTCTGAGCATTCTCATCACAAGGAATGTGAGCTGATGTCAGTAACATTGGCGGCGGAACCTAATCAGGAGAAAAGAAGTCCCTTGTCAGTTCACGTGGTTCACTCTGAGCCGAACATTTGCATCCTGCGATTCTTTGAATGGCGGCCTGCTCCGTCCTATGGGTATCTGAGAGGAGAAATCACGCTTTTGCACGTACAGATAATATATAGGAGCACAGTGTGAGAACTGCAGGGAGACTTTGGAAGGGAAGCACCGCGACGTGGCGTCTGACTTGAGTCACCGAGTCCAAGCGGCACGAGTTAAGCAGGTGAACAGGGCATTTTAATGTTTGCTTGTGATACTCAGGTATAGTAAGGCTAAAAGATGACTGTCTGAAAAGATCATCTGTCTCCCCAGCAATCCAAAGAGGAGGGGCAGAGCACCCCGGGGACACTAGGTCATCAGAGGCAGGGGGTGAGGGGGAAACTGGACAAGAGCCTTCATGGTGCTTCCGCAGGAGGTGGGGCAGGGTAAGCAGACTTAGGGTTGGTGAGTTTGGGTAATTCAGCCGGCCTGTCCGGAGTTCCGGGTGGTTAGGACAGGTAGACGGTGGCCCAGAGAGTGAGACCCGATAAAAAAGGTGATGGGGAGGTGGGTTCTGGACTGTTCGGTTTGCATCTGAGGGGTACAAGCCAGCTGCTCACTGTCTCTGGGGACTGGCTAACCCCAGGGGGCCCAGTGCTTCCGGCCAGCACAGCCCTAAGAAGTCAAAGCATCAGAACCAAGAAAATAAAGGACGTGTTTAGTGCACACGCTTTAGGGCTTCCGTTGTAGCGTGGCAGAGGACGCTGAAGCCTGAGCCAGATCTGCAGGCTTCTTTCTGGATAGGAGTTTAGGCTGCAAGTGTCAGACTTCTTTAGAACCTCTCACCCGAGAGTCCACAGATAATTAAAGGTGGCGACAAACGCTGTCGCCGAACCGAATACTTGAGGAGGAGCAGTGTCTGAGAACAGACGTCAGGATGGCTTGGGGGAGGCACCGGCACTGGGTTTGGGGTTAGCATGGAGGGTGATGTGGATGGGTTGGCTGGTGGGGGAGGGATAGGGGGTTCATCATCACAGACACCAGGCAGAAAACAGGTTGCACAGGGGAGTCGAGGTGCATCAGTCGGGTCAGAGGAGTCAGTTGTGGGGTAAGGAATGGAAACTGGACTTCCGGAGACGAGCACAGTGTAGCCCACACAGATGCTGAGGAGTCTGGGCAGCCGAATGCTACCTGATGTTACAGACAGTGTGACTGCAGTTAACAGCCCGAGAGCAGTGTCCGGCAGGACAGTTGTGCCCGAGGGGACGGGAGGGCCCCACCTCCCGGGTCACCAGCTTGTGGTGTGGGGAGGGCTGGCTGGCAGTGGTGGGCGGGACACTGGCACTGAGCTGTGGAGCACACGCAGCCGACCAGCAGCAGGGCCCAGGTATTCACAGAGCTGAGTTGGGGAAAACTGAGCTGGAGGAAGGATGGGGATGACGAAGTGTGTAGGTTGTGGCAAAGCGCACAGCAGACGCGGGCTCGCCTCGGCTGGGCCTCGGGGGGGCCTGCTGGTCCCGGACGGGTTGGCTGAGGCTTGCTTTTTGATCAAGCAGAATTTTACACTATTAGGAAGTCAAATGTGCTCCATTTTCTCTACGATTCCATCTTCCACCTCTGAATTTTAAAAGCCATTTACATTCTCTCCTTATGTCTCATCAGAGATTTGATGAACTTTCTCTTCCCATCACTTTTATATTTTCTTACCCATTTCTTACGGGCTGCTGTCTAAATGCTGAACTGTTAATCCGACTTTTCCAGAAGTTGCTACAAGTTCTGTTAGTGATTATATATGATGACGTTATGAGTTCTATGGATATTTTTGGGTTAGTGGTACTGTGGTTTCCTTTTTCAAATGAATACATAATAGTGTTGTCAGACTTTCATTTTCAAAGAAGGGTTTGCTTAGGATAAGGGTACTTTTTTAAAGATTTATTTATTTATGCATACAGAACTGGGGTACAGGCCAGAGGTGCAGGGGCGGTGAGAGGATTCACCGGAGACAAAGAGGGGAGCAGAACAGGCCGACTGACAAAGCACATTGCTGAGGGGAGCAGCAGGGAGACAGGAGAGGTCTGCTGCATCCTTTGGGTCACCTCTGGGGCGGGGATTGAACTCACACTGAAGTGGCTGCAACTGGCTGCACTTTAACCTGTTGCGCCACCAGGGAGGGCCAGGATAAGGCGACATTTTTAAAGATGAGTCCATTTTTTAAATTAATTGAATACTAGTGTGGGTGATAAATGTAGCAAGCTGATGACAGGGATATAAGAACTTCCTGGATTTGGGGGAACACTGGCTCCATTTCTTTGAAGTTTATTTTGCTATCTTGAGTAGGGTGTCACTCAACAGATACCCCTCCCCAAACTCACCTCCCGATTATTAACCGACTCCAAAGCACTTACTGAATCTCTCATTAATAGTGACTTTTAAATTTCTGAATGTTCTCTTTTATCCCAGTTAGCCTTTCTTAGTTGTGAGCTACGACTGTGTTTAGTCGCTGTGCTTGACTTGTTACCTGACCGGGCAGGTTTTCCAGCCAGGACTGCTGGCTTTGAGGCCCGGAGTCAGTGGGAGGGATGTGAACAGTCGGGAACATGTGGACAGCAGTGTGTCCAGGGGGCCCGGGGGTCTGACCTGAGTGGCTCAAGGGTGTCGAGGCAAGAATGTTGCCTGTTCCCAAATATCGAAAAGACATTTCAGTCTGTCTGAAACAAGAAACACACTGGAGCATCCATGAGTAAGCTTACCCCACACCAAGCAGGTACGTGACATGTCTGGAATAGTTGAGACGTGGAAAGGCCCACATGCCCATCCACAGAGGAGTGGGTCAGAAGCCGTGGTCTGGCCACAGTGTGGGATATGGCTAAGGCCACGGGAACGACGAAGACACAGAGACAGGGAGGCAGGTGCAGGTTTGATGTACAGTAGCCCAGGTCAGCGGGGACCAGCCAGGCACCAGCACTACGAGGCGGGCAAGCGGCAAAGTGCTGTGACTCACTCGCAAAACTGCTACAAGCCGTGGGGAAGACGGGAGGTGGGAGCGAGGGGAAATTTAAACACTGTCTTTTCACTGAAAAAAAGAAACAGAGGCCATCCCTGGTGGCTCAGCGGGTTAAAGCACGGCACTGAGAATCTAAAGCCGCTTCCTTATGAGTTCGATTCCCGCCTGCCCCGGAGGTGACCACATGGCGTGGCAGACCTCTCCTGACCCGCCTGCTGCTCCCCTCAGCAGTGTATTTCGTTGATCTGCCTGTTCTGCACTCCACTCTGTCTCTGGTGAATTCTCTCACCCTCCACACCTCTGGCCTGTATCCCAGTTCTGTATGCACAAATAAAATAAAATCTTTAAAAAAAAAAAAGAAAGAAAGAAACAGAAAAGCCAGACTTAACAGCAGAATGGAGAAAGGGCCCTCATTTCCCCGGAGAGTTCTCGTAAGTCATAGGACTCTGCAAACACCTTGCTTTCTCAGTTGGTGTGAACTGGTTTTCTGGAGTGCACAAATGCCTCAACTTTGGTTAGGGAACATTCACAAATGAGGGACGTGTGTGGAATCACCGCCTCAAATCACACATCCTATAAATGGTGGCAGGTGGGGCGGGGTGGGGAATGACTTAGCTAAGCTAACCTGAGCTTTAGAAGACACACTGAAGTCAGGGCCCCACATGAGTTGGGTACTGGAGGCAGGAAGAGGCTGGTGAGCCTGGGAGAAGAACCGCACAGCTCTCCCCCTCTGGAATGGAATTCCACAAAACTGAATGGGTGGTGCGGCAACAGAGGCCTTGCAATGCTTATACTCCAAAAACGTTTACTCTCCAAAAAATGGAACAAAACACCCCATTACTCATTCACCTCCTGCTCCCCCAAAGTGACAGCACTTACTGTTACTTCTGCCACCAAAAAGCAAATGGTCATCTTCTTGGAAGCCCTCACGAGTTACCCGTGCGCCTCTGTTGAACTTCTGGTGTCTCGAGTTTGGAGAGGGTGACGTCGCGACGCGTGGGCTGAAGTAAGGGGCGTCCCGGTGCTGCCCGTGGGAGCGCGTGCTGACTCAGGCCGGGGCGGCTATGTGGTGGGACTGCCAGAGATCATTCCCAGAGGCATGTGTCTCAAGACTCAAGTGAAAGCCTCGACGTGAACAGAAGTGTTCACAGGGGAGGATCTGGGAGACCCCCTTCCCTGCGAAATGGGGGTGTGTGTCTGGTCGACACACTGCCCGTTCTGCAGAGGCCGAGGGAGCTCTCCCCCTCCTGCGCAGGGCTACAGCTGGGCCGCGGGATCTCCTGGCCAGTGAAGAGGGCTTGCCAACAAGAGCTGGGTGGTTTATAAATAATGCATTTCCTTTGTCTTGCAGGAATTCTGGAGGCAGAGGTACAATCAGATCAGCTGTGAACAGCTTACATAGCAAATCTAATAGGTTTGTAAATTAGATTTTGTGTTCATTTGTTTTTGCTGTAAGGCAGCTATTAATCTGCTTCTCCTCTTTGCTGGATGGTGCCCTTCTTACTTAGCAGATAGCTCTGTTTCATTTCACTTTGGCTTTGCATTTCTCTAATCACTTTGGGGGGTGGGGGGTCCGTCGATAGAACAGCCCATGAAATGGCCCAAGGTCTGGAGGCTGCAGAGTTGAAAAAATCAGATGGGAAAGAGTTGCTTTCTGGAAAAGAGTCCACCCACTTCGAAGCACTTGGGCCCCCAGTGAGCTCAGTCATTCTTGCTGAGCAGTAGGGACCCTGAAGGAAACCAGAACTTTCACCATGTTTTTCACTATGGTGGATGCTTTGTCCAGGAGGTTAAGGTGAAATAAAGCATTTCAGGGACTTTGCTGAGACTCCTTAAATATATATATATATATACTTAAGTGTGTGTGTGTGTGTGTGTGTGTGTGTGTGTGTGTGTGTATGGAATCAGCTCTGCAACATTAACCTTGACAGTGAACACGCCCTCTATAGCCTGCGGTTCCTTGCGGGGCGCCCTGGGCCAGCTGCTGTTTCATGTGTGGAAGCAAGTGCATACTTGCAAGCAGACCAACCCAGGCTCGCCACTGGCTGTGGGGAGACCAGACCTGAGTCCCCCTTCTCCACCAGTGACAACCGGCCCCTAGCTCTGCCTCTAGTCTTCAGAGCCTGAGCTAAGGACGGCAGAAGGGAGCAAAAATACCGCGTTATCTGACATAAGGGCCGTGCCTCAAAATGAAAACCATGCTTTCCTTAAGAATTGTCCCACGTGGTCAAGCTGGAAATGTCCCGTTTTGGTCAAGCAAAGGGAGTCCCGCTGCTTGGCATGGGGCTGCTTGGCATGGGGCTGCTTGGCATGGGGCTGCTTGGCATGGGGCTCCATGTTCGTTTAGGCCCCTCGGCCACATGAGACCTGCCCCGCACACCCATCCCCGACCCGACGGGGCTGCCCTGGAAAAGTGCCCCTGTGTCACGGTGCCACTCCACTGCTTCCAGATCTCAACCACAAATGGAGCTGATGCCAGGTCTGGTAAATCACAGCCTGGTGTGAATAACACAGGAGGCCGTGGTCCCTAAGGTCCTCTTCTACACAAAAAGATGCCCCCGAAAGACCCTCCTCCAGAGCAGGACTCCTGTGGCCCAGGGCACTGTGAGGTGGGGTGGGTATAGTCTTATTGGCATCGAGCAAGAGAAGTAAAAATAGTCACGGGAGTCAGACGCACCGTACTCCGTCCCCGAGCTTATTAGCTGGGCCTTGGACAAGTTCTTTCTGCCTCTGAGCTCTGAGCCGCCTTTTGTTTGTTTTCTTTAATGAGAAAAATAATGTAAGCCCCTTTCAAGGGACTTTCTGAGAATTAGAACTATTGAATATAAGGCTCTAGCCCAATGCCTCATCTGCTAAAAGTCTCAGTGGATGCTCACTACTATTACCATGGAAGTATCCACAGCGACAGAAGATGACCACTGAGGTAGGCTTGGCAACTTGAGCCTGACATGAGACTCCAGGGGCAGCGGGTGGAGGGCATGCAGGGACCAGACCAGAGGGCGCACTCAGGAAGGGAGCATCTCAGCCACACGGCACAGACACCCAGGACACCTAGGTGACCTTGGGGGTGTCTCAACCATCCCCTCGATTTTACAGACACAAGAAAACAGAGCCCAGTGACTTCCCCCTGAGAATTTCCCCAGGGTGAAGTCCACTAAGACCATGACTGGCTGTGGAGGGGCCTGCCCAGTTTTCACCAACAAGTGGGGATCCGTGCCAACATTCTCTTTCCCCGACCTGTCTCCCCATGAGTATCCCAGAGAAGCCTGGAAACCCCCATGCAGGTTACTGCATGAGTCTCCTCAGCAAGCACCCATGAATTCCTCTGCAGAATTGCTGTCCTGAGAGCCGGGAGCCCCCTGCATGCCCAGTTTCTGAAAGTAGCTCCTGAGTTGACTCGGCCTTCTGCCACAAGATTCCAGGCACCGGCCATTGATTCCTGATGAGCATCAGCTAGTTCTGAGGGAGACAGCGCCTCTTCACAAGTACTAGAGCTTCACAAGTGCATAAGCCCACAGCTGCAAGCTGCAGTGAGGTTTGAAGTCTCGGGGTACAGCAGCCAAGACCCTGCTCCTGCCTGTGGCCTCAGGGAAGCAGGATAACGGGGATACAGAACCTCAGGCGTCGGCAGTCAGGGAGAGGCTAAGAGAACTGAGTGGCTCTTTGGGAATTCTAGAACATCAGGACACTTTCTCTTCTACACACTCTTTCTACAAATGGGGAAATGGAGGCTCAGAGAGGTAGAGGGATTTCCCCACAGTGACACAGCTTGGGAAAGCTTTCCAAGAGGCCCCTTTCTGGGCACAGCTGAAGGTCAGATCTTCTCATTCTACTGGAAGGTTCCCTCAAGCTTGTGCTAGAGGAAAATCATCCGCCCTCCTGAAAACTCTCTGCTCTCCTAACCCTGCAGAAGTTACAGCTATCTGAGTCCAAGACATCAGCCAGACAAGCCAGAACGGGGAGAATGTGCACCCCAAAATGAATTTCTTCTCTACCCCGAAAAAGCAAAATGGGGCACTGGGTTGAGACCGCATGACCCGGAGTTCACTTTTTTACCTTGGCTGTTCCAAAATAAAGGCAGAACTCTGCACAACGTCCACTTGTCCTTCTGGCCGGGAGCCTACAGCCGGCAGGAGGGACCGCCGCGCCCCAGGCGTCCGTGTGCATCGCAGAAGCGAGCTGGCCTGGCCACCCGAGACTCACTGTAACCTAGTTTCTGAGAAACCTGCCAGCACAGAGGCCACGCCACCACGCGCCAGTGGGCCCTGGAATGCCAGGTGCGCCTGGATGGGTGGAGAGAGGAGCGCACCCCGAATCTGGAATCGTCCCTGCAGACGGCCGGCTCCCTCTCCCACTCCAGGTTCCCTCTGGGTCAACAGCCACCAAACCCAGCAGGGTCTTCATTATTTCCCAGCTATGTGAGCTCGCGGGAACAGGGACTTGACGGAGGGCACACCCCCACTTACAGGCGAGGGGGAGACGGGCAGCGCCCACAGCTGGTACAGGGCAGGACTGAGAAGTGGCACCTGGCAGCTTGTGACGGGTGTGGGGCGCAGGGAGGAGGGAGAAGCCCCGGGCTACATGGGGGGTGGCGGGACTCTCTGCTCTTCATTGAGTTTGTGAACCTGCCCATGATACTTGGTTGTTTATACAACTGCTACTTGCAGTTCTGCAAAAATAGCTTGAAGAAGTATTACTATCTGCTCGGTTTCGTGGGGCGGGGGCAGGGAGAAGACCGTTTAATCACACACAGCCCCCGCCCCCGCCCCGTCCTGTCTCCAAGAATGGATGTAGGCTATACCTGAGGGAGAGCGTCTGTGCATTCTAGAAGATAAATAGACTCCCTTCCCTTCTCAGTAATAACTGCAATTTTGCTCTTCCGACAAAGTTTACATTCAGGCCTGTGCAAAAACAAAACTATTAGGCTTCTCGTTGGCATGCTAGAAGATCGTGTCTACCTCGTCCTTTTTTTTCCTTCCAGAGCTGAAGTTGTAATAAATGGCTCCTCATCGCCAGCTGTTGTTGACAGAAGTAATGAGAGCATGAAGCACAACATCCAGCCGGCCTCTGCCAAGTGGAGACACAACCAGACTCTCTCTCTGAGGATCAGGTAGTGGTAATTACCTATAGGACAAGAGGCAGGCTTGGCCTTCTGCAGCACAAGCTGGCAAATTGCCGCTCTCCATCATCTAAAGAAATCGGGATAGAAATAAAAGGTTGACCTCCCGCCGAGGTGGGTTCCATCTGTAAGCGATCAATTGGAAATAAACACTGAGGAGCCCAGCTGCCCAGCGGGCGCGGCGGCCACGCCCGAGTGGCGGGAGAGCCTGCAGTGGGCCGGGAGGGGTGAGACGCTCCGGGGGGCAGCCAGACCGGGGTGTCTCTGGAGAGCCATCCCTCCTGGTGACTTGGGGCTGCCCGCAGCGCTGCCCGGTGAGCGAGGAGCCGCCGTGCCACCTGCCCCCCAGGGTGAGGTCTGGCTGCGGAGGGGCGCGGCTCCTGCCCGGTGCGTTCAGAGCCCGGGGCCGTGACAGTGGGCCACTGCAGCAGGGGCCCGTGTCGGCGGTCTGGCACTTGGCCCTGAGGGAGCCTTGACTTCCCAGCCAAGGTGGGTCGTGGAATGGCTGGTCATGGCTGACCAGAAGAACCCATAATTCCCGTGCATTGTCTGGGGGCTGCCGTGAACCAGACCTGGTGGGGGAAGCCGCAAGAGTAAGCAGATGGGTGGGTGAGTGAGGTGCGCACATGGGGGTGCTGCAACTCATCAATGGGGAAAGAGGAAACAGCACTTCCCTTTGTAGTGGGACCCAGAGGGCAGCCGGAAAGGCCCCCAGAAGCCTTTGGAGGATAAGCCGGGGTTCGCAGGCCTCACCAGCTGCCTCTCGCTGCGGGGCCTGTTGTGTTTAGTGTTGCTGGAGCGTGAAGCTAGAGGCGGGGGTGGGGGCAACGCGGTTGGCAGCACAGCCGGGACCGCACGGGGAAAGCCTTGCCTGTCAGGACAGCCCTCCCGGGCCTTGGGGAGGAGCCAGACACAGTGGTCAACCTTGACCGTGGCCACCAAAATGTCAGCCCTAGAGCTGGGAGGTGCCCTTCCTGTGGACTGACTGTCCGAGTGGAAATGCCCCCACCCCCACCTCTATGCTTAGTCTGGTGAATCAAGGGGTCTGGGGAGAGAGGCATAAGGTCTAGAGAACTGGTCTACTGCAGCCAACTCCTTGAGGGGGGCCACTGTCCTGCCACCCCTTTGCCAGCACCTTTTCTGGGGCCTTCTGGCAGACCCTCACCAGATGCCCCAAAAGGCCTGCATCACAGACTTCTGACAGAGGCCAGACAGGGAGTGGGACAGCCGTGCCCAAGCGTGACAAGGCCCCTGGCACGGAGGTCCAACCCAGACGCTGCCTCAGTGCCTCGCCAAGCCGAGCACTCCCTCAAGGCGGGGGCAGGGGGTACTCCTTCCTCCTCTCCCAGCTCTGGGGGGCTCAGGTGTCCTGGCCTTGTGGCCACATCTCTCCCATCTCCACCTCCCTTCACACAACCTCTCCTCTGTCCATGTTCCCCTCTCCTGTCTCTTAGAGGACACGAGTCACTGGATTGAGAGCTCACCCAGCTAACCCAAGATGACTTTATCTCGAGATCTTTAGCTCAGCCACACGCACAAAACACGTTCCAGTTTCCAAGGGATAGGAGATGGCATGTATTTGAGGGGCTGCTACTGACCCCACCATACCACCTGTCAGTGAAATCCCCCCTCGCGCACAGATCTGCCTGCAACCCCACTCGCTGCTTGCCCAGCCATTAGATGAAGAAAGGGACGCCCCCAGACCAGACTGCACCCTTGCTGGAGGGCTGCACGCACACAGTCCCCTCAGCAGGAGCACTGTGCTTCCCCCAAGGGGTAAAGAATTCCTTCAGCTCCCATCAATTAGTCACCAACATCATTCACAATAAGACTCTGGGAGTGATCTGCAATGATGTTTAATAATTGATAGTAATTTCTCCTAATTAGTTAGAAATTAATTTACTCCCAGAGGTATTTATTTATGGGCTTTCTGGGGGCTCTCTCTGCTCTGAAATACTTTGGGGTGAGTAATTACAAAGGTTTCCGCAATTTCCAAAATACAGTCATTCGTCAAACGGCAGGTAACCCACAGTAAATAAAGCCGACGCCTTTGTTTTCCATCAAGAGCCTTCCCTCAGAAGGCTAGTTCTCCCGCAGGCCCACCATGACGAAGAGTGAACAAGAGCGCGGGGCCCTGCCCAGCGTTCCGGCAGCCCCTTGCTCTGCCAAAGGCCAACACAAAGCAGTGTCACCTGGAGAGCTTTCCAGGTGAGCTGAGACCCAGCCTCTCTGAGAATCAGGACGCCTCGATGGCAACCCTGAACTTGAATTCCTTCTAGTCCCCTAAATGATGGGCATAGCCTTCCAGACCACTGCAGGCTAGGAACACCTCAGACACCCCCCCCCATAGGAACACCTCAGACACCCCCCTTCCCCCACACACATGTGGGTTCAGGCAACAGTGTTACTCTCTACACCATGGGGTGGCCATCTTGCAAACTCTCACTTTTGCAGAGTGCTAGGACACCCTGTCCTTCCAGAGCTCCTGGAGAAGACCGGCATCACTGTATGTTCTAGATCGGCGCACTGCAGGAAACGACATTAAGTTCAGCAGATCTGGGTACCATATTTCTGACTTGAGTCATTTCTAAAGGCTGTGGGGTGATTTTGATAGTTCTAGAAGTAAAACATGCCACCTAGGATCCTCGGTCCCTGGAGGCGGGTCTGCTTGGTTGGAGTGGGGCCCCACCGGTGGTTCTGTGAGGATGCCCATCCATTTCCTGACCACACATCATCCCATTTTCATTCTTTGCTAGGTGATTCTAGAACTTTCACCCTAAATCAAAACCACCCTGGAAAGCTGTTCTTTGGTTGCCTTTGTCCTGAAACAACAAAAAGGAACCCTGATCTGTGGGGCCAGAGTACGATTAATATTTACAAAACCCCAAAGTAGTGTGGCCCGCACCCCTCAGCGTCCACACCCCCATTCATGCCCTGAGGCCCCTGAGCCCAGCCGCTCCCCTGGAGTAAACCTCCCCAGGCATGAGATGATGAGACGAGTCATCTGGTTTCTTGTCCCAAATTCTGGACCCCATCACATGGTGGTCCTGAAGCCCATCGGGTGACAAAGTGGGGTTCACTTCGAGGTGGCGACTACTCTGGGTTCACCTCAGATTGAGGGGTGTCCCGTCCTGGGACTTCCAGGGCAAAGCACAGGCAGTCCCGGGCCGCCCTTCACCAACCCTCCCTGACGACCTCACCTTGCGCCCTGCTGGGGTCCGTTCACAGCAGCCTCCGCCTCCCGCAGGAAGAAAGTGGAAAGATGGCGACCGGGGCGCCCACCACGGCCAACATGGCCTCGGGGCGAGCCGCAGGTGGACCTCGGCTCTGGGCTGCAGCGCGGGAGACGCTGGGCCGTTTCTTTCTCACGTGTGTTCGGTTTTCGCAGGAAGCAAATCCTGAAGTTTCTGGATGCCGAGAAGGACATCTCTGTCCTCAAGGGGACCCTGAAGCCCGGCGACATCATTCACTACATCTTCGACCGAGACAGCACCATGAACGTGTCCCAGAACCTCTATGAGCTGCTGCCCCGGACCTCGCCGCTGAAGAACAAGCACTTCGCCACCTGCGCCATCGTGGGCAATTCGGGGGTGCTGCTCAACAGCGGCTGTGGCCCCGAGATCGACACGCACAGCTTCGTCATAAGGTAGGAGCGGCCGGGTGTTGGCTCGCGCCAGCCTTCCGGGCGGGCGGCGGTGGCACCCGGCCGGCGTGGTCTCGCTTCTCCACCCTGAGTGTGTTCGCCTCGCTTGGGAAGCTTCTGACAGCACCTCAGAGCAGTCAGTCAGCGGCGGGGAGGGGGAGGGGTGTGCAGTGCAGAGAGCCAGTGCGCCTGCGCACAGCCCCCGGCGTCCAGCCCAGCGGCAGGCAGGCGGGCGGACAGGCACTGCCTGTGTTTTATAAATAAAGTTTTATCGGAACACAGTCGCAAAGCACAGCCTACGGTTTTGAATAAAGTTTTATTGGAACACAACCACGCCTCACAGCCTAGGCACGCAGACACGCCAGGGCGTTTCCATGGGCTCCGAGACTGCTTTCTCACAACCACGGAGAGTTGAACTAGTTCAGCAATTACAAATTTTAGGGCCTGTAAAGCCTAAAATGCTGATTATCTGGCCTTGGTGGGGAAAGTTTGCTAATCCGCAGAAAGAGGCGGGTACATGTGCAAAGGTTGGTAGGACAATCCCTTGGACAGGCAGGCTGTTGGTCCACATTTACAAAAGCTTGAGTGTCAGGTGTTACCCACCCGGTAACTTTATTATCTGGTAGTCAAATCTGGAAAATGGTTTCCCTGGAAATGTTTCTCCCAAGGGAGAAACCGATTTTGTACTTGACCATGACTTTTGCTGATATTCCAGCATCCACCATCCAGTCCCCTGAGACACATTCGGACACAGTTACCCATGGACCTGGCCCTCTCGCCGCCATCCCAGACAGACTCAGAAACAAGGCTTTGCTATTCCCCAGTCAAAGTAGGGCACTCGGAGCCTCCAGTTTCCTCCCAAACAGCACCCGGCTCAGGTTTCTAGTGGGCGTCTCTGATGCAAAGAGAGCCTTGTCCTGGGGCTCTGGGAACTGGCCTTTCTGTAGGGTTCCCACATCTCAGGACACGGGAGCAGACGGTGCGTGTACTCTGTATCCATAGTGATGGAAAAGTCAAGGTGGTTTTAGTTTTTTCGTCCTCTGCCAGGGCCTGTGTGTGCCAGGCGATCTCGGGCCCCAGTTCCCATTTCTCAAAACCCTACAGTCTACCGAGTGGGGGAGGGGCAGACAGCGGGAACTGTTGTGAGCGGGTTTGTCTGATGAGAAGCCAAAGGGACGAGGAGGGTGAGGGTGGGCAGGAGGCTGACTCCGGTGGAGTTAGATCACCTCCGGGGTTTCTGGCAGGGTCCGGAGCAGACTCTCTGACCTGGTGTCACCGATGTAAGCATTATCTCTTGCTTGGTCACAGGTTCCATAGAGAACTTTTTGTTCCCCGCCTCAGAAATTTCCAGAGGCAATGGCAGGTTCTGACCCATAGCTTCCTTTTTGGACATTCACCCAGCAAGACCAGCAGTGAGGAGTCTGAAGTCTGGCCTCGGCCCTGCTGCTGCGGCCACATGACTTAGCGTAGCGTCACTCACTCCCTTTCCTGGGTCTTGATCGGATCATCTGATTTGACCACGGATGTGTGACCTCACTCCTCAGAGCTCCAGCATCTGCTCCACACACCCTTACCTAAATTCTCAGACTTCGTCCCACTGCTTGAGGGCTGTTCGGCCACCGAAGCCTCGCAGCCAGGCCTCCGAGCAGTGCCCTGCCTCTGCCCCTCCTCCTCTGCTTTGGCACAGGCAGAAATCCAGGTGGGGTGCCAGCTCAAGAAGGTGGGGAGGTAGACAAAGCAGGCCACAAAGCAAACTGCAGGGTCCCTGAAGGAGCCAGAAAGAGACTGCAGGTCCCACCCCTCCAGCACATACTACGCCTTCATTTGATTGCCTGTTGTCTACAGTGCAAATATTTCCCTGCCACTCTCCTGCTCAAGAACCTTCAGCAGCTCCCTGTTGCTCTCAGGACCAAACCCCTGAAATACAGTCCCTCTGGCATCTCACCCTGCTTGTCTCTCCAGCCTTGTTTCCTCCACACACAGTTCCCCAGCGAATCCATCACGAACCTTCCCCGAATGCCCACGCTATGCCACACCTCTATGCCTCGGATACATTTACCGTGCCTAAAATGCTGTGACTTCATATTTCCTAAACTGTTTGGTCCTAAGACTTGCCAGAAGAACTTGTAAAAATAAGTATCAGTTCCCATGCTTAGTGAGATAAGCCAGAAAGAGAAAGAAAAATACTGGATGGTTTCACTCATAGCAGGAGTATAATGGACCAGGTGAGAAAATAACAAAAATAATGAACAACCATATACCAGAGACATTTTGCGGGGGT